TCATGAAGAACCCCGAATGGACCAGAGAAGGGAGTGTGGCCGTCGGCTTCACTGGACACAAGTCTTCACAGAGGGGAATGTCTATATGCACATTATAGGAAGGGATAATCAGGCATTCACACATGGCTTTACAAGCACTTTTCAATAAAAGGGCTTTGAAAGCCATGTATGAATCCTTCTCGTATTAGCCTGGCGAAGGCTGGTCCGCCAGCTGAAAACTTTCATTGAAGACGCTTTGAAAAAAGTATTGTCGTCCCATCCTTGCATATAGAATGCGTAGGGTCGTGTGTAGCCCGAAACAGGATCTTCACGTTTTGACGTCAATGTGTACATATACATTCGTCAGAGGTTATGTTATGCCTCCAAAGTTCAGGAAGAAGATAAGAAAGCTTCGTTCTAATGAAGGAGCGCTGTGTTGACGAACTGGAGAAGAGCGGAGCGAGCGATTTCTCAGCACCGATGGGTCTTCCTGGTGCGTTGCGTAGCCGCTGCTCAGTGGCCGTGCGGAAGGAAGTATACGTGAGGTGAATGCAGCGCACCGAGCCTGGTGCTGCCGTGCCGTCCGGTACGCGGCCCCTTGCTGCTCATATATTGAACAGACCTTCGACTGCCATTGGTTCAAGTGTATACTCCCCCCGGGGTGCCCTTCGTGTATAGTGGCCCTCATGTTTCGCGCCAAAAAGAACCAGCGAAGCAATCAAAGTAAATATTGATATTCTGATTTTGTGCTTAAGAAGATAAAAATAAGACCTACCAAATGAAAGGACGAAGGAGATATGAAAAAATGCTGCCCATTTTTCTTGCAATATATCTTTAAATAGTGAAATTTCAATGATAAGAAGCTAGGCTTATTTTTCCAAACTTTGCCGTTTGTTATATCACTATACCGCGCACACAATCGTGGGTATACACCGATTAGCACAGTTATTGTATCAGCTGTCAATGTGAAATGTTTGTGGCCGGCATTACGCATGTGATGGTGTGTGTGTGATGGTGGTGTGTGATGGTGTGTGTGTGTGTGTGTGTGTGTGTGTGTGTGTGTGTGTGCGTGTGCGTGTGCGTGTGCGTGTGTGTGTGTGTGTGTGTGTTGTGTGTGTGTGGTGTGTGTGTGTGTGTGTGTGTGTGTGTGTGTGTGTGTGTGTGTGTGTGTGGTGTGTGTGTGTGTGTGTGTGTGATACACACCGCAGCGCCCCGCCGTTCACACTCGGCTGCTGACCAACAGGTTGCGGGATTGAATCCCGACGGCGACGGCTGCATTTCCGGTGGAGGCGGAAACGGTATATGCCTGTGTGCTCAAATAAGGGTGCACGTTAAAGAACCCCATGCGGTAAAAATTTCCGGAGCCCTTCACTTCGGCGTCTCTCATAATCATACGGTGGTTTTGGGACGTTAAACCCCACATATCAATCAAATCAATACACACTTCAACGAAACCACGAAGCAATCAGTGCAACGTTATTTTTACTCGTGACTATGAAATGCAGCATTCGATTTGATCTTACCAGTTTTCCGGGAGCGACACGTCAGCTTGAAAGCGCACTACGTGCCCCGCACCCCCCGAATACCTTAGAATCTGCTAGCGAAGCTTTGCACGAGCGATGATGAATATCTGACGCCTGATTGTGTGTTTGTTTTTGCTGACACAATCTTTATTCACCAGATGAACAGAACACAGTCCTCCTCGGCCGCCTTGACGATCATTATCTCTTTCCATTGCCGTCATACTCCAGCAGCAGCCGTGGAGGGGGCTTCCTAAGCGCGTCTAACTTAGTTGAGTTAGGTGATGCCACTCTCAGAAGAGCGGGTGAGGCTATTCCGAGAGCAATTCTGGCAACGAGTGGGGTAAAGCATTTCCAAACCTAGATGCGAGCTGTACAGGGTTTAGTTGTTTGTGCTTGATAGATGTGGGGTTTAACGTCCCAAAACCGCGATATGAGTATGAGAGACGCCGTAGTGGAGGGCTCCGGAAATTTCGACCACCTGGGGTTGTTTAACGTGCGCCCAAATCTGACTATACGGGCGTACAACATCTCCGCCTCCATCGAAAATGCAGCCGCCACACCCGGGATTTGATAACGTGACCTGCGGGCCAGCAGCCGAGTACCTTAGCCACTGGACCACCGCGACGGAACTGGTTTAGTTGTTCTCGAACGTGTATTTGGTTTGAAGGCAATCCTCGAAACTTTCTCAACGTTGCAATACGCACAATTAAGTGTGGACGCAGCTCTAGGTTGTCGGTAAACTTAAACTCGTCTGCTTCGTTCAAGTAAATCATAATTTCTATACCATAGTTGAAGAACTATAGGTTGTAACGGTATGGCTCCTATAGGTCTGATAGGTTATAACTTTGTGACTCAAATGACCAGAAGTTACTTCAGTCGGATTCACTGTCGCCACAGGTGGGGAAAGCATCGCTCAAGGAGAGCCAATAGTGATTGCGAGTTCACAAGTGCACGCGAAACTTGGCCTGATAACTGTCTGCAATTTTTAGACGTCATTAAAATCATAATTTTATTCTCTCTCTTTCTCTGTATCCCACTTGATAGAATAAGCCAAGTTAAAAAAAACAGTAGTTGGTCTTGAGCTGTCATTTCTGAAGAAACCGCAATAAAAGTAGACACGCATGAAACCAGCGCAATTACTCGGCGTGCTCCTCCGTTATGCGGGAGTCATTGCGGCGTGACGCAAGCACCCTCGCGCAGTTGGCAGCGACGCGCGTCAGGTGCCACCGTAAATTAGCCGGACAAAGATTGAACGACGAGACAAGAGCGGGCTGCGTCACTGTACGACGGGTGGGGAGGGTTACTTTGTGCTGCACGGAGATAACACGTTGGAAGCACACCTTACGCGAGAACATCGGATTTTGCCGCAATAAAAGTGGCTGCCCCTGCGGTGCATAACGACGGTGCCGGTGATGAATAGACGGTACGATACACAACGCCGGCTATACGATTCTCCTCAAGATGAGATTACTGTTTATTATCAAGCTCCGCAATGCCTCGGAGAGTGTCTGTTTCTTGTTTCTTTATTATTATTTTATGGCGACAAGGGGGAATCCTGACCTGACCGAAGGAAACATTCGAACTATTGCGTCGCCGGCGAGCCTTTTGCTCCTGCGAACGACTGCGGGCGCGACTGAAGTGTGCGTGACCGGTTTGGCGAGTGTTACGCCGGTTGCCGAACCGGGGTATTTTTCACGGATGAGTCTGTTTTTTTTATATATATATTCGCTCCCATTTTTCAGAGGCCCCTTGTCGTTCGTGCCCTGCCCGGAGACACAGGGACCTATGCGTGACCCGCGCTAAAGTAGAGCCTCCCTTCCACCCTCAGACACAGGGACCTATGCGTGACCCGCGCTAAAGTAGAGCCTCCCTTCCATCCTCGGTTTCCTCTTCCGACGCTTGCACTCACAGTGCCGTGCGAGCAAAGTACGGTATATGTCGCCTCCTGTGGTGTAATTGCTGTCGCACCGCCGTTAGCGCCTGACACAGAAATATACGTACCTGCTTCGTAACGGTCGACATTTTTTTTTGTTGTTAATGTCCCCACAAAATTTATTTTCTCTGCTTTCGATCACATTTCGTAGCTATATTTCACGTCTTAGCTATATATACACACCCGAATATGCACGTCAAGGACAGCATTCTTTTGGCGAGTGAAAATTCACTGCTTGGGTGCACATGACTTCACCCGTAATAGGTGCATGCGGTCAGTGCGCAGGCATCGCGATAATCGCTGATGACGCCACGCCATGGCTCAAATCTAAACGGCAAGGTCCACCGCGCGCGTTTGGGTGAGTAACATGAGCATTTGAATAGTGAATATCATTGCACTGTTATTCTCGTAATGCGAGAAAAACAATATATTTTAACCGTGGTTTGAGAGGCAGAATGTTTTGTTTCAAGTAATACAGCTTTTTCGAGACCACATCGGGGTAGAAACAAAGAAACATAGAGAAAAAAATATGAGAGTTGAAGATGTCATCTCTGCAACCAGGGGCAAAGCAAAAAGAGGGAGATGGAGTTGGGAGGTTTCAAACCCTTTCGAGGATTTTTTTTTCAATTTGGCTTGCGTTTATATTCACGCACATATACAAACGCACGCACGAACATACATAAAGTATGGTTGACACCTTCCCCCCCCCCCCGCTTCACCCCTCAAAAAAATTTCTGCCTAGCAGTCTGCAACGAGCAGGGCTTGAGTGTTCATGTGGCACGCGTTGAAGTAACGTGAAATAGAAACGAGAAAAAATGAAGAAATAATAAATAATAATAATGAAGAAACATACACAAATACCAGTAGTGATTGTCAATCGAAGAGAGTGGTTTATCGTGACTTGGATTTAATGCCCATTTTCGTCTCAGTGATACAATATTACTATTTTTAGTTTTTCAAATATATTTTTTGTGCTGCTAGAATGTGTGGTAATGTAGTTCCCGGCAATGACATATAACATGGCCATTCCGGGCGCTCAACGTAAGCTCACTATGGACGTAGTATTCGTGTCTGTGCAAACGTACTTTCACGCAATTCAGTATTTCTCTGAGCAGTCGCTAAATTACTTTGAAGGTAGTTACATGTGACACTCGCCAATAACAAATCAACAATGTCTCATAATGTGTCATTCGTACCAATTTGCTATTTAAGCTGCGAGTGCTTGGAAATCAACGTTACAAGAAACATCCTGCGTATTTTAAAGTTCTCGGACGACGGAGATTAACGTTTATACCCATACACGATGGCGCGTTCGCAGATCGCCCGTATACACTTGCACTCTGTGCCACTGAAAACGATGAACGTAAATATCGTTGAGTATAAAAGGTATGTAAGAAAGAAAGAAAGAAAGAAAGAAAGAAAGAAAGAAAGAAAGAAAGAAAAGAAAGAAAGAGAAAGAAAGAAAGAAAGAAAGAAAGAAAGAAAGAAAGAAAGAAAGAAAGAAAGAAAGAAAGAAAGAAAGGAACGTAGCCACCTCTCGGGATTCGTGTCACCTCGTAACTCACCTGCCGCCGAACAGCCTCCTCGATCGACGCACGCGGTGATGTTGGCTACCAACGACGATGCGGGGCAGCCCCTTTTTATACTGATGGGGCCAATTTCGCGCGCTACCGACCACCGCGCGGACGCACCGCATTGGCGGAAAGCGCACCCCACTGCGCACCGCACGTCGTCAGTGCTGAGTTTGCGCTCTCCGGAAATTTGCGCCCGTGAACTTCGATACCGCCCCCTTGCACTCTCCTGCTCATTTGTTCTTTTCGCCCCCTTCCGTTGCCTTTAGATGATAAAAATGATGTTGGGTTGTTTTTTTACAGCGATCACGTGAAGGAATGCTTGTTATTCAATGTGGCAAGGCAAACGCGCGTTTTTTTTTTGGTTTTACGTGGCATTTGCGGGCAGAAGAGAGGATACGAAACTTTTTTTTGGTCGCTAAGCTGATTAATGAGTCGATGGCGCCTGCAGTCGCGCTTATAACTCGTGACCATTTCGTCACACAAGTGAAGATGCCCTTACTCGAAGCTTTTAGCGGCGAGTGCTGTGTAGTGCTGTATGATCATGTCAGCACGCGCTCTCATTTCCTCCACACGAGGAGGAGACAAACTGTTTTTCATTGACTCGGTGCTGTTTACATTAATGTATGGTGTCTTCGAGCTGAGCTTTTGTAAATGTCTAGTTTAACGAAAGATTGAGTAATAAGGTTCGAAAGTAATGGGTGTCATGAAACTCATCTTTTTCTCTTTTTTAAAATATTTTCTGGGGGGGGGGGGGGGGGGGGGGGGGGGCGTGATAAAAACACCAACATTTGTTATGTTTCTATTCACGTTTTCGAAAGCAGAGGGTCGCATTTCATTTTTTTTTTCATCTCGAAGGCAGCATACATTTTCATGAGCATGCATCTTTGAAGTGCATTATCGGCCACATAGTTTTGTTTTGTTTTTCTCTGCTGTAAAACATGCACATAGTCCGCTGCCCCATGCACTAGAGATAAAAGTGGCTTTTTATTTCTTTCACCATTAATTTGTTGTTTTTTTTCAGTCAAGAACTTCCTTCCGTCTTGCTTTTAAGAATATTAATACAAAAATACTACCCCTTAAGTGCTCGGAGAGATAAATGTTGAGAGGTCATGGCTGTGTATCGTAGAACGTACTAACGTCTTTAGAAAGCTTCTCAATACGTGCCCGTCTTGTTGAAAAATGTGTTTTTTCATGTTCACTTATGGTGGTCTGGTCTGTGCGAGCCGTGAATACACGATTCAGAGGACCGGTGCCTGGGTTAGTCCTATAGCACTCGTGGCCGGTTGCAGGACGTGCCAGGTTCGGCTTGGAGCCTCTCCAGACCATCGTTCTAGCTTCAGCTGACGTTCAATGCCCCACGGGAAGATGAGTCATCCAGCAGCGCTATTATAGACACGTCTGCCGCTTCGATGTGCCTACCGAACATCCGAATAATAGTGCCTGTGAGTGCTCATTGTTTTGTGCTGCCACTCGAGCCAAGAGATGAAACTGTTATCGAAATCTAGAGAAGTCACAAAGCCTAGAAAGGCACCCAAAGTAATGGAGAGAGAAAAAAAAATGTTATGGTTTAAAACACACGCAATTTGTACGGGAAATATACTCTACTGTGATCTAGTAAGTTATTACGAGAACACATTAAAATTTATTTCCCAGTACACACATCTCTGCAGATACATAATGGAATTATGTCAGTTAGAATGCAAAAGAATAGCGGTTCTGGGGATGCGCTTGATTACTCACTTTTACATATTCCTACTTAATGCCACATAAAGCGGTTCTGACACGTTGCAATGGTCGTGAAGGGCTAGTGTATGTGGCATTTGCGCTAAAAATTGATTTTTTTCAGTATGGAATATTCGCTACACTGAGTGGAACGAATACAGATCAAGCAGGTGCAATTAACTATGGAGAAGTTCAGCGCTGGGGCATTCGACTTTAACACTTGACTGAACAACAAATAAAACGTTCGAATAGTGCCAGTCTTGCACGGCCCTCCACATAGAACGCGCGAAGCAGCAGGGCACCGGCACTTAACAATTAAGGCATACTTTTGCATACCCGTGCACACGCTGTAACCGACTCAACCACAGACAGTGACCAGACCTTTGGCCCGGCATTTACTGCCGCGCTTGCTCTCGCGCGAGCAAGCTGTGGAAAGCATGCATGCTGAGCGGAGAAGAGACATTTGAGCTGAAAACTGAACGGCCTCGCTCGCAACAAACAGAGCACGCAAACATTTTTACGTCCCGCGCGGCGCTTTGCGCTGCGAGTCATCGATAGTGTTTATCGAGAAGAATGATGTTCGAAGCTTAGAACAGTAACGGGACGAAGCACGCTCTCTAATCTTTCTGTTTTTCGCGCGTGCGCGCTGCGGCAATGAATGGACCTCGTGTTCCGCGAATGCCGAGCGGGCCCGAGGCGGAAGCGAACGCTGCAGGGCGCTAAGCGTTCCGAACGCAGTGGCCGTGCTCACCTGTGGGGCGCCGTCGGTAGCGGGACGGTGTCGTGCAGCGGCAGCGCGGAGTCCCGGCGGGGAGCGTTCCGGCGCGCGCGCGTGGTGGGAGCCTTTCGCCGGTACACTGACCCAGCGAAGCGCGCACCGATCAAAACGAAACTGGTTCACTCTCGCCGCGGTAAGGGCGCCACGCGGCCTTGGCGTCGTACCTCCGGAAGGAGAAAGAGAGCGACCGGTTTGCGACCGCCCTCAAGGCCCGTTGCTGCGTGTGCTCCTCCTAATCCTTTAATTCTCCGACGGGCGACGCGAACAGAAACAAAGGAAACGCGAAAAAAACTCGGGCGCACCCTCAAGGACAACAGCCACTCCCGCTGACGGAGGGCGAGGAGAGGTCCTGTGCGTTCCGGGTTCCAGCTGGTGGGAAATACGACGCTGTTATTACTCATGCGCTGACTCACGGCGTGCCCGGCACTGCATTTCGGGGTATGCACCACCGCGGTGCCTGTTCCAGATTGCTGTCGAGAGATCTGGATGCAAGAGGCGTGTATGAACAAGCATATATCATTTTTTTACTGCAAGCAGAGAAGCAATTCAGACCCGCTTTTTAAATGAAACACCTAGAAGTGCGAAAGAGGTTAACTGTGCTGTGAGTTCTTGGGAGGTAGAACAGCACTATAATAAACTTCAATCTGGCAGAACCCCAGGATTTCTTCCAGCGATTGCAAGATGGTTGACCGACCTCTTTGCGCAGTTTGGATAGTGACCCTTCCTCTGTGAATCTATACCCTCTCCTCTTTCCCTCATGACTCGATGTGCCCTCGAGAGTTAAGGAATTCTACTATTGAACGTAACTATTAATAGTTAGATAATGTGACATCCATTCTGCGTATCGCCTGAGGAACACAGTTGGTATATCATAAAGACCAGTCGACTTTTTCGTATCTAATAAGAGTAGCTGCTGAAATACCACTTCCCTAGCTATTTCAAGTGTTTCCATTGAAGCAGTAGAACAAATCAAGGCGTCTTCCGTACTTGCTTTAGTTTCTGGCAGATTAAATACAGGCTGAAAAAATTGGTTAAAATGGTTTGCTATCGAATCTTTGTTATTATATCACTACCGACATGTATTTCGTTGACTACTTCTTTCCAATCGCTAAAATACCTCCAGAATTTCTCTGGGAAAGATCTAAGGAAATCACTTAATTTTTTCAAATAATGTTTTTTTTATTTAGCCAAAGAATGCTTAAGATCAATTTTTAGATTTTTCAAAGCCACTGGCGACTTGCTCTTTTTACGCAGTCTCTTAATTTTCCTTTTCATATGAATTATATCTCAGGTGATCCAAGGACTTCTTTGTTTTGTTTTTCTTAACACGTGACGGAACATAATTGTTTATGCAGTAACTTTAGCCCCGTCTGCATTGGAGTTATCCAACAGCGGTGATTTTTAGAAGCAGTAGGCAGCAAACAGTAATCCAATTCCTCTTTCAATTGATCAAAGTTTTTGGTTTAGTAATCGCAACTGCCGAACACGGACATATTTAAATCGAATTAAGTCATTTAGGCCAAATATAATTAGCTTGAGTATTTCAACAAATTGCAATGAGAAACCTTCTTTAAGCTATGAATGAAGAAAGGAAGTGAAAATTTTAAGGGCTCGTTTTTTTATTACAACAATATTAACGACAACAAAGAGACAATGATGCCAAGAAAAGTATGTTACTCGTATACCTGTTGGCGCCACGTAACACATGATTTTATTATGGGCTGGCTGGATCAATAATCCCTTGCATATACCAGAAAGCATGAAATCTGCCAGAAGGAGACCCTCGCTATAAATGAAGGAAAGAACTGGCAATTCTAAAGGCTTTTTTTTTTTTGTTAGACGCAATATTATTGAGAACTGACCATCAACATCGGACGCGCTATTCCATGTTCGCAGGTTCAATCCGTGGTCACGGCAAGTTACCTTTTTGTCCATATTTCTTTCTTCCCACTTACGTTGCATCTACTTTAATATTAAGAGGCTGGATGATCGACCATTTACTCTGGATAACATCTTGGGAGCGTGGCCTTAACGTATTTTCAGCCCGGAAAGCCACACGAGCCCTCCTACAATTCTTGAGGGCAACATCACTGTGCGACCGCCTGTGAAACTTGAACTTTCTGTGCGGTGTGAGTTATGTGCAATGCGTATGTCCTCCTCTTTCTCTATTTTCTCTCTCATTCTCCTCTCCCCGTGAAGGGTAGTGAACTCGACTTAGTCTACTTAACCACCTCACCTACTTTATATTTTTTCTTCTCTCTCTCTTTATATATATATATATATATATATATATATATATAGATAATATATATATATATGGGATATGGCACAACCTCACGAAGATACCTTCACAAAGACTAACTGGCCCATTGAACCCATTGAATTATTACTCCCACTATATATATATATAAATAATAAATAAATATATATATATATAATATATATAATATATATATATATATATTATATATATATATATATATATATATATATATATATATATATATATATATATAAGCTTCTACCTTGAACGATAACATCAAGCTGCGATTTCTTCTGTGTCATAACTCAAATCAATAATAATGGGAACTACCAGACAACACTGTCAAAAAGTAGTATACGGGATGTTAATAACGA